TAAGACAGCTATCGTGGAAATCAAAACAACTTTCTTCAATCATAAAGTACATTGCATGTTGTTACGAAGCATGAAACATTTCTGTAATATCGTGAACGAACTAAAAAAATCGTTAATATTCTTTACAGATTTGAATGGTGATGTCCTACCGAATAGTCAGTGTACCAATCTTTTAAACGATTTTTTCGTAAGCACCTACCCTTGGGAGTTTGATTTGTCTCCTCCTATTTAACATTATCACAGCTTTCTGCCTATGAACCCTTTGGTGTTTAGATTTGATGGTATATATAGGCTAATAAAAAATAAGAAACCTCTTCTTCCTCTGGGATAGAAAATATAAAGTCTGTGTTTCTGAACAAAAAATGTATAGCGCTAACTTCCTTTCTAAACTTATTGAATACTCACTCAACTTCACTACACTTCCTAAAAATTTTAAAACAGTTAAGATGGATGCGCTCCATAAAGCAGGTAGCAAGAAAAATCCTATTAGCTCCCGTCCAATCTCACTATTTAGTACACCCTTTAAAGTTATAGAGAATATCGTTTATTCGCACTTTGTTAATTTCCTAGACGCTAACTCATTTTTTACCTCCGTTCAGCATGGTTTTCGTACATTTCGTTCCTGTGAGACCCAACTTCTTTATTTCACTACTGATCTATTTTCTATTCTCGATCGAGGATCCCAGGTAGATTGCGTGTTTCTTGATTTCAAAAGATTCGATAAGCTTTCTCATGGGCTTTTACTTCTCAAATGTAATAAACTTAACCTTGACCCGTTTGTGTGTTTTTTTTTTTTTTTTGATTAATTGTTTTCTTACAAATCGGACTCAGTTTCCCTCAAGTAATCAAGCTAGTTGTCACCTCGGTGCAGCAACATCCGGTGTCCCAGAAGGGACTTTTTCGGTGTCCCACAAGGGACTTTTTGCTTCTAATTTATATAAACGACTTGCTTGGAATCTTTCATCTCCTACTAGGTTTTTTTTTTATTTTTACTGTGTAATCTATTGCGAAATTACTAATGAATCTGATGCGCTCCTGCTTCAATCAGATTTAGATGAAGCTTTTGAGTGGTGTAACACATGGTCTATGACTCTTAACATAACCATATGTAAACCTATCCGTACAACTCGACGCAACTCCTCACCACTGACATACTACCTTGATACCTCTCCCTTGCAACTCTCAAACTCCAACAAATATATTGGTCTTCATATAACTCATAGATGTCATGGAATGTTCACATTTATCACATTTCTGCTAACGCCAACTCTGCGCTTGGTTAATTAAAACAAAATTTTACATTAGGAAAGGTGTCATTAAGTTTACTTTAATTTAAAACACTGGTACGTTCAAAATTAGAATTCGTTCCGGCAGTCTGTGGTCCCGGTCACTCAACACTCGTATCTAACAAAGAGGCCGACCGAAATCGCGCCGCACGTTTTACATTTTGCAATTACGACCGTACCGCAATTGCCTCGTCTATGAAAACTAACTTGTCTCTGCCTCCTGTGTCTCTCTGCCGCAAGGTTTATCGTCTCTGTCTTTTTCACAAAGTTTATTAGCCTAACCCTACTCTACAATAAAAGTTTCGTCTTCCTCCCCACATATCTCTGCTCGCCTTGACCATCAATGGAAAGTAGGATTTCATCAGTGTGGTACCAACGCCTACATTGACTCCTACAAACCCAGAACGTCTTCCGAGTGGAACCACCTTCCCGCATCTTAAGTGTCCATATCATAACCTGATTTGTTCAGAACTGCGATAACCAATCATATTTGTTGATACTAAACTTGAAGGCTCTTGTCTTACATCGTGTGTACGTGGTTTTGTTTTTACTGAATTTCGTACTGTATTTTGCACTTCCTCTTTGTGATATTTAGTGGCCCCGAGGATAGTGAAATAAATAAACAAAAAATAAATATGTAAATATGTTCTCATATCATTCGACCCGCCACAGTTCCTCCGAGCTCGGGTTCGATCGGTTACCGTGGAGTTGTAAGCGGAAACGACGGCAACACACTGCCATGTTTATGTATTCATGTGGACTGCAATACGTTTTTACAGAGCACATAGTTTCTCGACTGCGCAAAAAGTGCAGCACAAAGATATTCATCGGGGTCTGCAATAGATCAAGTACGAATGAAAATCTTTCTTTTATTATAATCAGACTGCCTTTCGCCCGCTGTCGGACCAAGCAGACGCACTGGGAATAAAATGATCACGGCTCTTTTCGACAGCACATGGAGACAAACGGTGCTTTCTATGTGCAAGTCTTCATCACCTTCCATTAGCCCTAGGCGCTGAATAAGACAATATAGAGTGAGAATGTTAAACTACTGTATCAAGAATTTGTCAATTTATATTTATTTATGTAAAATACTGGAACATGCGCGAAGCTGTGTTGTTCTTTTGTACCCCTTGTTTCTGACGATTTTTGTAATATGCATGTAGTTTTTTAAACTGATTTTAACTCAATAATTTACGAATATGCACAGCGCCATAGAGTACGCATAACAAAAATGCGCTTAGTATCATTACTCTAGCTGAACAGGAATGGTGCGATACTTCTTTACAACTTCAAACAATAGAAATTAAATAAAAAAGATAGTCATTGCTTTCGAGCCTCCTTTGATTACTCACGTGTGCACTCCGCGTTGTGACGTCATTTAAAATGGATATCCAAGTAATTCCTACATGCGTACCAATAGAGTATTTTTTTATCTCCCGTTGATATAAAAGAAAGCTTTTTTATATTGTCACGGATGAAGGAGACAGAGCGATGAATATTCAACTGAAAATAAAGTTATGATCGGGAGTTAGCTAGGTAGAGACTGACTATACTTCGTCTCACCCTACGCTGGACTAAAGGCAAAAGCTACGGACCTCCAGATCCAATCACGAGCCACTTAGATATTGCGTGCATTGCGGTTTGATGCACGTATCAGCGCCCGCGTCTCAGATCACTCATGGGTATGGGCAGACAGTGGTTAGAATTGAATCGCAGTGAATGACTCAACAATGTTACATTGCAAAAAAAGCCACGGCGTACACGCTGTTTGCAGTAGTTTGCAGTGTCGAAGCTGTAGAAATGACGCAGTGTTTCTGGATTCGGAGCATTATTCGTCCACCCCTTATCAATGTTAAGCGTGTCATAGTTTAGCTTGGAACGTGATTGGACCTGGCGGCCCATGGATTTGGCCTTTAGTCCATCGTAGGGTGAGACGAAGTATAGGCAAGATCCTTTTGGCATCCTTATCTCTTACACTCGGTTTAAAATAAAAGCAAAACTTCTAGATACACGGAGAAGCGCTTAGTCTCGTTCATACACGGAAAAATATAAGCGTCCTTATTATTTCTATGCAACTCAAAAATTCCTTGAACTTTAAAAGGTCCTGAGTCTTTTGCGGGGCGTGACAGACATCGTTCGTTCAGTTTTTTTGTTAACCTCAAGGGTCACTTTTATTTTCTGTGTGATGTACAAACAAGTACTTAAGTGAATGAGTACGAAACGTTTCAGGCTTCATCTATAGACGAATAACAATTTTAGGGACCGGATGGTAGCAAAAATTACAAAAAATACTTTGCCATAAAAAAATATTCATCAATTTGCCAGCCGCTGGCTTGTCTGAAGGGATCTGTATAACATTGGTTCATGATCGCAGAGTTTGAACTCATGAACCCAACCGGCAACCGAGTGGTCTCTTTTTGACTTCTCAGGAGCTGGGCGGGTTGTGTGCATGTTTATACAGCCTAGAGCTTTGTCTGCCTTAAAGGGGCCCTGCAATCATATTTAAGCGTCTACCTTTTTTGCGGTTTCCACGTCTCTTGAAGTTCGGGCAAGCCAGCGGGCATGGAGAGAGTAACTAAATATCAAAGCGCCATATTTTAACAGGACGACGCGGAAACCTCCTCCACCGACGAGGGCGACCCGCGGTACCGAAAGCGCGCAAAATGTGACGTCTTTGGTCCTGGTCTTACTACTCGTCAGAGCCGCTAAAAGCTTCCTTTTAGTCGAAATACAAAATATAAGTGGCGCGATCCGTTTCAATTACTTATAAAAGTAGTTTTTGTTCATTATTTTAGATGAGAAAAGAAACAAATGCAGTTTATAAAGTACGGAAACAAGAAATGACCCGTCGACATACCCGCCACCAAGCGGTGGAAAAGGCGGCGCATAGTAGAAAGAAGTAGTGGGATCAGGCGCCTGCACGGAAAAATCCCGGATGTACGCGGCAGAGCTGCGGTCGTATGGGCAGGAGGATCCGACCGGCTCCGAGCCTTCCGAAGGCCTTCGGCGAGATGCTTGTCTTGCGGTTTGGCCGTTTCGCGGTATGGCGGCGCGAAGTGGCTCCCACTCTGACCTGAACTTTACCCCGTGTCTGCTGTCGTTTGCGGCTAATGAAGTGTCATGCCGAATTAGTGTTTAATCACGCAGCAAATGCAATGAGAGCCGCTCTGGCTGTCCGCTGCATACAGCCTGTCCTTAACATGCTTTAGTGGCATCCTCTCGCGCCGTTGACACGGAGTGCGGTAGCCGTGAGCGATCGCGATGAGCTCACTACCCCTTCTCTAGTTCACGGCCGCTCAAGCAACCAAGGACGTCACGAGGGAGGTTATTATTTGCTTGTTTTTGTAATTTTGATTTGCCTATAACTTTTAAAATAAACCGAATTTCAAGAAAATAAAAGTTACACTAAGTTACTACGTTCAGTGCGCTCAGGTTTGGTATAAATTAAAAATTAGTAAAAACGTGCTTGCAGGGCCGCTTTAACGGGCGACGGGTCTTCCAGCTGTAGACAAGAACTCTAGCCAGTGCAGTGCAACCGCTAGCCTGGCGTCTATAGCGTGCACCACGCAGTAGTGATACACGGCCGCACGCCGCTACGATGCTTATTCAGATCGAAACGGGCAGGGGTGGGAATTGAACCCATGATCCTGGGTTCTGCATCACGAGCTTTCACTCCACGTGCTCAGTCTGCCACCGATCCCCCCTTCGCAGGAGCTGTTTTGTGTTGGAAGCGTTCCCGGTTTCATTGACGTCCTCGAGTTCCAAGACTACTCGGAGGCTAGTCTGAAGCCCCACGTGCCTGCTGACACAACGGAGGAGGTCGTCGTGATGCTGTACACGTCCGGAACCACGGGCCTCCCGAAAACCGTGCAAATCTCCCACAAAGCTTACGTCTCCTCCTACCGTGTTTTTATGTACGTTGTTTGTTAAACAAGTGTTTTTATAGTGATAGCTGTTAAGGGCTCTTCCCCCCGGTGTTGAGGGGGGGGGGGCGAATGAGCGTAACCGATAAATTTAGCGGAAATATTTACGTCACGTGACGTATGCAACAATTCAGTTTTTCTCGCTAAGTTCAGCGGAATAACGGACGTCACGTCAACTATGCACTTATCAGTTTCCCCGCTAAATTTCGCAGGAGAATTGATTTCACGTGACCTGACGCAACGGAACCTGGAGAAACATTAATGTTCTATGCTAAATTTAATAAAAAAAAAATAAAGTCATGTGCCTCGACATGACGGGAGAGACGAATTCAATTTTCCCGCTAAATTTAGTAGAAAGTTTACGTCATGTGACCTATCCACCAATTTAATTTCCCGCTAAATTTGGCGGAAACATCTCGCGACCATATGACGATCGTTATGTCATATCGTCAAATAAGTAGCACAGCTAGAGCTTCCTGAACACATTACGCCCCATGATCGTCTCCCACTGTTTATTTTATAAGATAAAAAAATGGTAAATGGTTTGTGCTGCGGCATTCACATTTTGCTATTGAAAATCAGTGGATGGAGCCCACCAGGGTTTGTGAGATTCTTTGACGTAGCCATTAAAAAATTGAGAGGCTTTGTATGTCCGTCAAAGTTTTTTACGCGGTCTGACGCAACCCTTAAGAATTCCTGAATGGTGTGAGAGACCTGCAATTGGGATTTTGTTTTGACGGTTGCTGGATCTATCCCAACCCATACCACAGCACCAATCAAAATCGTTAAATGGGTCTCTGGGGAATATCACGAGACCTTTCAGAATATAGACGTCGGGGAAGCGCTTGGTAGTTTATTAAGTTAACTTGGGAAGTCGTATTTATTTAATGCCATGCATGCCTGCTGTTGCTCTAGGGCGCCCAAAGCGGCAAGAAGAGGGTAAAAGCCGCTACACACAGCCGAGCTCGAGAGCGCCCGATCGAGCTGCGTTCGCAGGCAACCAGGACATACATCCTCGCCTCGCCTGTCGCGAAAAAACTACTTTTTAAACTGGATGCCACGCCTTATACGAAGCAGTGATGACCCTCGGCTGATGGCCGTTTCACAATGCAACGCTGCCATACGTCGTCAAACGATCACAACCGCAATCATGCGATGTACCTATTAAAGGGAGTTCTCAGTGACCGATGTCGCTGCGCGCAAGAGCTTCTCTGGTCCTCCGCCCGCGTGGGAGAAGCTGCAGAGCTTCGGGCGGCCGTGACGAATTTTTGAAATTTAGAATACTTTCCGCCGTTTTTTCCAATCCTGGTCCTGGCGTAGCACCAGAGTGTAGGCAAAGTGCGCGCACCAAAACGCCGTTGTGGAAAAGAGGCCGCTCATCTCCACTTCAGCTTTCTTAGTTTCCGCCCCTATCACTGTTGTATTCGCCAAGTTGTCACTTACAAGTGAAAGATGGTGCGTGAGGAAAATTGGAGGGGGCTTTGTGAGAGATCGAGCACCTACTCGGTCAGTCGAAATACAGCATTTAGCAGAAGTTGGCCGCCCTGTTTTTTCTCCGTGAACGAGCTCAACTAAACGAACAACAACGAAGGGATTAACAACTTCCCGTCCCATGTGTGAAACCTGTCTTCAGAGCTGCTGGGTGTGAAAACCAAGAAGGCAGCTCAGTGGCCTGTTTTTGCACCTCGTCGTCTGTCTGGCTTCTGAAGCATCCAGTGAGCGAGAAAGACGCCGGAGACGAAACCCTTACTCTGCTGCAGCATTTCTATGTTCCGTTTCATCCTACGTTTAAGCGCAGCGGATGTTACGAGCCATCAGAGACAATCGGAGGCCGTGTGAGTATCACGTGACCTTAGAAAGGGGGCACAGCGACGCGCGCAAAGCGCATCAGGTGCCACGTCCACAGAACTAGATTGGCTAAGATGGCTCGTAGCCTCCGCTGCCTCCGGATGTTAGGACTGCGGCGGATGTTGTTTGCTCATGCATGGTTTTCGCTCAAGGTGCTACAAAGATTGTTTATGTGTCCATGTGGTGCACCTGCTCGGTTTCATAAGTTGAACTACCGTACAGCTCAGGAATTTACCCAGTGCATTGTGAGTACCTTGAACGATATTTTCTACGAAAAATACCTCGGTAGTGTCTATTTGGTCTGATCGCTTTCGTCTACAGCTGCTTGCGCCCGGGTTTGAGCAAACATTGGTACTTATCTTCTCTTTGAGTTACAACATGCATGTAAAACTGAATGCATGAAATAAAGTTCCAATAGAGTAAGTCTGTACGCACGAGGTCGTGCACGTCAATCGGAAATGGCTATACGCACGACGCGAAATTTCTCGTGTCGTATGAAACGAATTGTCAAAACGAATTGCTAAAGGTGTATCCCAATATCGTGGTAAGGTGGCCACTTCACACTCAGCGGACCCAGGATCGAATTCGGAAGGCAACGGGCATAAATTTTTTGTCAAGTATTTGATGATATTAACGATATTGTTTAATAATGATCTCAATAAAGAGCAAATGTCGACGAAACTACGGTATCGGACTCCCTTGCCGGAGGTGCAATGGAGGACAGTGGGGATTCGGCCGAAGGCGGGGCACCGCGGAGCGACGTGTACGAGTGGGCCAAGTGGGGTAAATATTTATTTTAATGAGCCATTCGCAGGCTAGGCACCAAGCGGTGTAAATGAGAGGGGGGGGGGATTTAACACGCGCCCCAGTGATATACGCGCCGTCCCCCATAGCGCCTCCAAAAATAATGACCGAGATGGCATAAGCTCTCCGCGTCGTGCCTATGGCCATTTCCAGTCGAGGAGCACGACGTCGTGCGTTTTGCATTACTCCTTGCAATAATTTTTAACCTGTGTGTTTTGTGAGTGCTTCACAGTTATTTGGCCGTCGAAAGTGTCGAAGTGCTGAGGGGGTCTGAAAGGCTAAATGTTCTGACGGGCTGAATGGGTTTGAAGGTTTGACAGTCTGAAGGGGATTGTACGGCTCAGGGGTTCGATGGGCTTAAAAGGTTTGATGCGTTGAGAGGGTCCCATAACAGATCATGGCTGAGATTTTATTTTCAATGGGTTATAAAATGTACATTCGACGTTTCGCTCGAATCGTTCATTAAACTGTAGAGCACATAACAATGAACGCAGCTTTTAACAATTCAGCCTTTCTAACTCACCACTTGCACATCAATTCACTCATATATCAATGCACAATCGGAATATTAGTAGTACGAATGTTATTTTATACTCTCAAATATAGTTTTTAGTAGTTCAATTAAAGAATGGCATGCACAACGAAGTCGGCTAACGGGACACCGCGACTTACGGTGCCTTCGTCTTGTGATAACCTGAAACGTCAAATTGGGTCATCCTGTCGCAAGACAGGACCGTTGAATGAGTATAAGATGAAGCCATATAAGAGACCGAGACAAGTCAGCCCTATATTAACGAAAGGAAGAAAGATATTCAGGCATGCAAAATACCAAGCCTGTGCGAGTGAAGCTTGTATTTATTTTTATCAAGGAATCACCCGGATAGACCGAGTACTCTTAGTCGTTGATAGAATCGTGATGCTGGTTGATGTGTGTCGCAATTTAGAATTGTCAGGCATATAATATTTTTATTGGTTTGCTATTGCCTTCTTTCACATATTTTAATTAGCCTTTTTCTTAAGAACCGGCACTGTCCGTCACTTCTATTTGACAACGTAATAAAAAAATGTAATTGTTTTGATTAAATGAACAGGGATTTTTTAATCTGCGTACGTCGTTCAGATTTTGATATGCTCTCATTGGGCCATGTTGCAGGGCTTCAGGCCTTTTAGCTGAAGATGACATCATTCTTGCCTGGAATCCCTTCACTCACGCCTCTGGGTTTGTGGTCGACACCATCAGTGTGTGCCTGGGGGCAACGGTGATAATTACGGAGCCTTCCCTGTCATGGAAAGATTTTTTGGAGACCCTCTCTACACATCAAGTAAGACAACCTAGGTCAAGCACATTTGACACAGCTGGGAAGGGGAGAAACGGAAACTGGAAATTCAAGGGCACTCACACCGGTATTGTCTTCGAAGATGGATGAAAAGAAGTTAGCAAATATTAACGCAATTGCCTTAACGAGCGAATGCTGCCAGAATTAGTTCCAATGCCATCCTCTCTCGCCAACCCCCCCCCCCCCCCCCGCCCCCACCCGAAAAGAAATTATGACATACATTGTGGTCGACACCATCAGTGTGTGCCTGAGGGCAACGGTGATAATTACGGAGCCTTCCCTGTCATGCAAAGATTTTTTGGAGACCCTCTCTACACATCAAGTAAGACAACCTAGGTCAAGCACATTTGACACAGCTGGGAAGGGGAGAAACGGAAACTGGAAATTCAAGGGCACTCACACCGGTATTGTCTTCGAAGATGGATGAAAAGAAGTAAGCAAATATTAACGCAATTGCCTAACGAGCGAATGCTGCCAGAATTAGTTCCAATGCCATCCTCTCTCGCCAACCCCCCCCCCCCCGCCCCCACCCGAAAAGAAATTATGACATACATTGTGGTCGACACCATCAGTGTGTGCCTGAGGGCAACGGTGATAATTACGGAGCCTTCCCTGTCATGCAAAGATTTTTTGGAGACCCTCTCTACACATCAAGTAAGACAACCTAGGTCAAGCACATTTGACACAGCTGGGAAGGGGAGAAACGGAAACTGGAAATTCAAGGGCACTCACACCGGTATTAACTTTGAAGATGGAAGCAAATATGTTAACAAATATTCACGCAATTGCCTTAACGAGCGACTGCTGCCAGAATTAGTTCCAATTCAATTCCCTCTCGCCGCCCCCCCCCCACGCAAAAAAGAAATTATGACATGCCTTTTCTTTCCCGCAAAACTTGATTGCCACGGGTAATCCAATGAAGCACTTCTAGCCCCACCAATGTTCGCAACGATAACGCATAAAAACTTTTCTCTTGCAATAGTAAAACTAATATTCTTATTGGCTTTTATAAGAACATCTTGATTACATCAAATTCTCTCTAGTTATATCTCCATATTTCTTTCACATTTTATTGAGAGGTCCTGCTGGAGAAAACGAATGGTCCTGGTTAAATTGAGAGCGACGTATCTGCACTAAGTCATTCTAAAATGTCCGGCAGCGTTCACAAGCAACAAAACATACACCCATATATGTACATGGTATCCCTACAAAATAAATTGATAGTTAAATCCCCGTCTTATTCCACAGATATCCTGGATTTTCGCCAATTCTCAAAGGCTACGGGAGATTGTCAACGAAGCGAGAACGAACAACCATCCAGCGGTGGGTCTGAACAAGATCATAGTTGGAGGGACGACGACCACCGATTCTGTAAGAACAGAGCTATGCGAGTTCTTTGGCGTGAGCTCGTTCGTAAACTTCTACGGATCGACTGAAACATTTCCTCTTATAAGCTGCACAGCTCCCGGAAACATCTGCATGGACAACGTCGGCGTTCCCTGTGCTGGCACCAAAGTCAAAGTACGTCTGATAAAAACAACAATCTCGAACTTTTATACCCTAAGCATTTTTTATCACGCAATTTGTTTGTCCTTTTTAAGAAAAAAGTCAGGTCAACAGCCGTTAGTAGTAAATCGTCTTAGGTTCCTGTAACAAATGTGAGCACCCTTATATCCATGCACCACCAGACAGTCAGAAAACGTGCAATATTGATAACAACGGACAGAAATACAATCTAGGGCGTCTGCCACAACAAACACGTGGTTTTGACATCCCAAGAAAAATATTAACCATAGCGGAAAGCCTAGCATTCGCCTCAATGTGGCGTTAACGATCGATAACAGTTTCGGCATAATAAAATGTTAACGTTATCCCATTAAAAAGATAAAGCCATTATTTTTTTCTTCAAACATTTAATAAGAAATGATGGTTTGATCTCCGTATAAGACGTTACTGAATCCAAATATTCGAGGGCAGCGTGGCAGCTATTTTCCTATTGAAAGTATTTTAATTTTATGTGGAACTTTTGAATCTGGTGGATGTAACTTTGGTATCTGATCCCGACTTGTTGCGCTACATTTTGCGGACACTGGGCGTTCGGCAATGCGTAATGCACTGTCACCACGAAAGCTACTCGAGCCTCTCTTGTCCTAGACACCTGGTAGTCTAGAAGCGCTTTAATGTAATCTTTTTCTTATAGAGGCAAACGGAGCCGAGCAAATACATAACCAAAATATGTATCGCCCTTCCTTTGTCCTTTTCCTTATTTTCCGTAATTGAATATTTCGGCCTAGCGCCACTACGTAAGGTACGCTTAGAGCATATTAAATGAGCATTCTCGGTAGTCTTGTGGGCGTCGCCATCTTGTTTAACGGTGCATAGCAGGCGGAATGGGCAATGTGCAAAATAACAGGGCCCCTAGCAGTTCAGGTGCACTCTGGGAGCCGGAGACCGTCAAAGGGTAGATTAGTTTCGATTTAGTAGGGTTGTGTCTCTCTCGTCTGCTATCGTCTCCGCACCGCCATTGGTCACGCCGTCGTAGATTCTTCCACACTTACCCTAGATGCAGTAACATTTCCTTCTCGTTGCTACATCTCAGGTATTGCGCATAACGAAACATTTACGATTTTGTTCGCACGGGGAGCGAGAAAGAGCGCCACAACGGAAAAGTCAAGTAAACGCAGATCGACGTATGCCGAACGCGATACCAGCTCGCTGCGTGCATTTGTATTCTACACTGAGAACAGCCACTGAGACCGGTACTTCAGTTTTATACCACCCTTGCTTCGCCGATCGCTATTTTCAAGCAGGCCAACCCGGTACATATGACGAAACTCGCTGTACAAGAATGTGTCCAACCGCAAACATGCACCTCATGCAACGTCGCTGTGAGATAAAAGTCCACGCGAATGATTAAAACACAATACCTGCGTTGGTGTCCCCATATCGCTCATTGTGCAGGTTTTTTTATTCATACATCTCTTAGCCCTAACACTTTTTGCTTTACAAAGTTTGAGCATATCGGATTTTTTCTCGGCCTTTTGTTCAGTCCAGTTCTTTTCTATGTTCTCTCGTGTTTTTTTATTTTATTTTTTTATTATGTGTGTGTGTGTGTGTTTAGCTGACCCGATTGCCAACAGTGTGTTCCAACTGGCTCAATTAAAACCTGAAAGTAGCTATCGGCGAAGCAAGGGGGGTATAAAACTGGAGTACTAGACTCAGTGGCTGTTCTTGAGGTTGCAAACAGATGCACACAGTTAACTGGCACGGCCTTCGGCGTACGTCGATCTCCGTTCAAATGACTTCGCCGCTGCGGCCTTTCTGCGCGCTCCTTGTGCCACCAAAATCGCAATTGTTTCGTTATTCACTCTGTGTGATATACACCGACGAGAAAAAAAGGGTACTTACAGTGTCCCGCGTATATGTGGCGCAGTCTGCGACGACGTGAGAAACGTGAGAAATGACGGTGCGGAGGCAACAGCAGACGACAGATGCGCAACCCGGAAAAACCGAAACCGAAACTACTTGTTGACGGTGTCCGATTTCCAGAGTAGCCAAGACTTGTAAAGAGCTGCTTTTGTTTTCTTTCTTTTTTTTTTTTCTCTTTTCTGTTGCTCATTGCTAATTGTAACGATTCCAAGTACAGAACAACTGATCTTGAGATAAAAAGCTAGAAAGCTCCATCGGTTTTGTTTTACTCTTTCGTGGACCGTTTCAACTTGGGTCGAGCAAAAGCGTTGCCCGCTCTTTCAACGAAAACTTCGGATAACTGGCAGCAATGGTTTTAGTAACAATATGGCTTAAGTAGCGTTATTCTGAAGCGAAAACCATTAACGCGTGATCCCTTACAATCCATCTGCGCAGAAGGCCTCCGCCATTATATTGCAAACGCTCTCCATGGTTTACGCTCCTCCCTCTTTCAAATGTAGGGCGTCCAAACGACACTAATAACGCGTGGCGCCATTTACCAATAGCGCAGCGAGCAGACGACAAGAGCGAGCGTGATGCTTGTTCCGCCTATCGGAAGATAGCCCAATGCCTTACAAGCGCCTCTAAAGGGAGCCCCCCGTAGGACGCTAGGCACACGCTAGTGCCACTATAAAAACAAGGACGCGCGAAACGCTTCCGAAGGCGTGTGTTTGCGACAGTCGCTTCCTACAGTGCACTTTTGTCGAGAACTTCCTGCAAACGTTTCGGTGAAGGCGGTACGACTCGCACTAAGAAAAAGATGAGAGATCCTTAAGCTATCCGCTGTATGGAACAGACCTGCGCTCTCGCCTCGACTCGGTGGCTAAGAGGCTCCGAGGCGAGAACGCTGGCCTACGGATCCCCATGTAGCGAGCAGTGTTGCGGAATGGGCACCCCCATTCCATTCCAATTCCATTCCGGGGAATTAGAGTTTCCGATAATTCCATTCCTTTCAACTGCTAGGAATGGGGACACTGGGCCATTCCCACTCCTGGAATGGCTGAGTCGCTCCATTCCATTCCTCCAATTCCTAAACGTTAAAAGTGTCACTTGACAGCTGCATTACGTTACAGCGTTGGGCAGAAACATTCAGAAATGTATTTGGAAATACAAACACTGGGATAGGTGAAAATAGTTGCTAAGATACTGATACTCAAGTCTCAAATATATCTATAAAAATGTATCGTGATACGTATCGGAAATACATTTTAAAAAGAGGCAAAAAGTCTTTGGAAATACAAATACAAGAATACATTTTAGGGAGGGCAGAAATATAAATACTGATAATACAATACATTTTTCAAATTTCTTTGAGACGCCAACTGATATGAGGCTTTAAGTTTGCAGTGGAAGTTTCTTTTTTTTTTTTTTTTGGTCCCGAAATTACTTTTCCGCAGGCTTGGCACTTCGCCTTGAAGGTAGTGGTTCCGGACGAAGATGTCTAAATGGGTTTAAAAAACGTTCCATCAAGGATTGACCGCGGTCCCTTCCCTGACATTCTGTCTGACTGATCAGTGATGCGAAAAGACTTCGACCTCTAAAATAAGTTCCATCAAAACATCACCACTTCCCTGTCCAATAAGGGCGCCCCTGTCAGCACTGATCACATGACGTCACGGTGGGATGAACTAGTATTCTTGAATCTGTAGGTGTTGCCTTGAACATGAAACTTTACCCACGCTGCTGTATGAAAGGACAATACATACTTTCGTTGTAGCTGACCTTGTTGAAGACCATGCAGGCAGTTGCATTTAGAATTTTCGAGAAAATTGGACCACCTGAAGCATCCTGAAGCACATGTATTATCTTCTGTTACGGTTGAAAAATCGATACGGTGGCATCCCGGTTGTGACGGTCCTTCCTGCCGACTCTCCGCCTCCAACGCATGAATGGCAGTCTTCAAGTTTCGCCTAGCATCATACAAACAGAAACCTCGTGGATTGTGACCTGATATTGCCGGCACAGGTGCGAGCTCTTCAAGAAACAGCGCGCTAGAGACGAGTCGAAAGTGTACGAAGTCTGGGTCCGCACAGCGAGGCCATGTCTGGCCTCCTTCCTGGGTATCGGATCACCAGAGCAGCAGGTCACGTTCACATCGGCTGATGACGTACCAGCCGTGCAATATTACAGGCGCAGACGCATTCGGATATGTGTTGAACTTCACTGGTGAAAGGCGCCACCGCCGCCTCCCCCCCCCCTCCCCTCCCCCCTCTGTTCTTTGCTTTGACGCTTGTTTTTTGTATTGCATTTTTTTCTTTTGCGCATAAGTCTGGTAGGGCCTTACGCGGGTTCGCAGTTTCCTGCTCATTTTATTTCTGAACAACCGACTCCCTGACTGGCTCGGTATAGCTGAACGTAATAAATAAATAAATAAATAAATAAATAAATGGAATATAAAGAACCCGGCTCATTCCATTCCCATTCCATTCCGGGCAAAAGGCATCTAATTCCATTCCCATTCCATTCCCCTCACCGTTGCCGCCATTCCATTCCCATTCCATTCCGGGGTCGCGAAAATGCGGAATGATTCCGGAATCATTCCAACTCCGGAGTGGCAACTCCGCAACACAGGTGGCGAGTTCGAATCCCGGCCGAGGTGCCCGCAGTCTGACGGAGGCTTGTTGCGGAGGAGGCGCCGTGTAAACGAGCTTTCGGTTGCACGTCAAAACATCCCCAGGTGGTCGAAATTAATCTTCAGCCCTCTGCTGGGGCGTGCCAGATGCCCGTTGTTGGTTTGGCGCGTAAAATCCCCAAATCTAACTTGTCGCAAACGGAGGCAAACATTTTTTTTTTTTTTTTTTACAGCTAGAAATAAAGCGAACGTGGCAATCTCGTGTTATTCGATGAAACTAATAAGGACTCTGTCTAGCTGGTTCGCTTTTAGGCATAAAAATATGTCAAATTATAACGGCATGAAGAAACGATTTAACACTTTTCACACGTCAATAATCTCTGTTGCGTATGGGAGATGAGAAGCGGTGCTTACACTTCGTTTCAGCTTAGGTCTAGACGTAGCCGACGCTACAATGTAACGGAACCAATAATGCAGCGTTAAAAGCGCAAGTCACTAGGTCATTTTTTAATGTTTGGTTGATCGTTTATAACCCGTACTGAACACTGAAGATCATAAGGGACTGATGCAGGTACTTCATGTACGAGGAAAGGGGAGGGGGAAGGGAGGGAGCGAGCCAGGTGTTTGGGAAATCACCAGCTTGCCCCTCCCCTTCCTCCCTGTTTTCCCCGCCCTGCATTTTGGCACGCGCGGCATTCGAGAGGCTTTCTGATTGGACCCACCAGCTCCTAGTGTCGGCTCTATCCGTGATCCCATCAACTCCTAGCGTCGGCTGCATCCGAACTTACGGGGAAGCGAAGAATAGCTAGCATAGCAGCTTTCGAGTATGGGTGGGCCTAGAGCGCGGCTGCTTCCAACTAAATTGCGTCTCGCGGCATAAATATTGCACCACAAAGTTTTTTTAGTGCCAAATAATCTTCTGAGACACGTGTTCAATCCAGATACTTCCAAAATATTATTGTTTCATTATCTCAGAGTTTATTAAACGTCATTACTGGAGGCCCTTCTAATTAAAGCGAATGATTGGTTGGGGTTTAAAGCCGGTTTAGGCAACTTCGCAGAGCTCTTTCACTATTAGGAATTTTGCCATAGCAGACTTCCCTTTAACTTAAACTAGTATTTATGCAGCCAATGCTCAGTGCTGTATCAATAATATTGTGCGCAGTCAGCGCTGCGTCAACAAGATGAGTACTAGTTCTAGTGCTGACCAACAGCACCCATGTGCTGTGGTGATGAAGTGAACAACAGGTCTTTACCATGAGGACCGAGACAATTCATTATATTCAAAAGATTTTTTTATGCTCACCGACACAAGAAAAGGGAAACTGGCTCTGCCTCTTTTATTAGGTTGATTGTTTATCTTGTCAGGTATTGCTCCTTCCACGACGAACCGCGATCTGCACTGACAAATTGGTGTCGCATGGTGCCACACGTCTCCTTCACAGGGATAATATAAGAGTTTGTTTCAAGCTAAGCGGTGTTCTTTTATGAACCAATTATTATATAATTCCGTGTAAAATGCATATTTTTACTCGTCTGTTCGCACCTAACTAAAAAAATGAAAACGCGGGCTTTGATATTTCCTTTCTTGTATCCGAGTTTAAAGTGGCTCCCGATAGTAAAACGTGAACCACTATGGAATTACCTCAACATTCCGGTTAACCTAAAGTATAGAACAATTTTTCTTCCGGATTATGACAGCTTACGTTTCTGGTCCTCAGCAGCGCATCTGGTAAACACGATCTTTTTCTTCCATAATGTGTTAAAAAAGCATCCATATTTCTGCAACGAATTGTTAAGCATCAAACTGGAAACACCGTATCCACTGCATAGAAGGTACATTAAAAAATATATATATATATATATATATATATATATATTTGAGTCTTTTGCGTTTTTAGTTTGTTTATACATTTAATCATGCGTCGCCTGAACGAATAATCAGTATAATCAAAATCACTACCTAGATCCTCGACCTCTTCAGCGGAGATTCTCTCGGCCCCTATCAAAAAGGCGAGATCGTGGTTCAAAGCAGAACTCTTATGAAGGGCTACTACGGTCGTCCGGAAGCCACTCAAGAAGTCCTGAGCAGTGATGGATGGTTTCGAACGGGTGAGACTGAGGATGCTCTTTGGGGTACTCGATTTTAAATTTCTGCAATGGGCCTAACCCATTCCGAGTCGTGTCCCCCGTGCGAGTGTGCGTCGAGGTCTGATATTTGTAGGATCAGTCTCCTCCTGTAATTATACATTACTTCAGTAGTGCGCTTACCAACGTTGGCGTCAAACCGAGACCGAGCTAAATGCGACAACAGCGCCACTCTTTGTCACTTTTCTGTACTGTGGTCACCTTGAACTTTTTGAAAGCCTGTTTTTGCGTAAAAACAAACGGAAAAGGCTCTTTTTGTATGAAATTTATTGGAGTTTAGTACAAAAAGAGGGGCGCGTTATGTTTTTAAAATCTTTAGTTTGCAGGGTTTTGCGGCACAATTAATATTCTTTTTATACAACAATACCTCACCGGGGCTTTCAGGTAGCGCGTCCCGACCTAGGTGCATTTTAACTTCGGTAGTTCGACGCGGAGCGTCCGCCGAGGAGACGGGGGTGGTACCCCTGTAACCTCTTCGGCTGTATCTGTCCTTAAAGCCAAAATAGAAGTCACGTGCAGTTCCTCGAGTGGCCGCTGCGGGAGACATGGTGGCGTTGTGTTCGTCATTAGCTCGGTGCTCGGAGACAGATTGGGGCCACTTTTTCAAACTTGTCTCTATGGGAGTTTCCCAACTGAGTGTTTTAGTAACGTTGGCGCTTACTGATATTCGTTTCTATTTTTGAAACTTTTGTAAAATATCGTGCTATATTGATAGGCTCGGAAGCTATATAAAATGTAGTAATCGTCTATTTTTCTTCAACTAATTTACAAGGAGGCCTTATAATTCAGCAGCATATCTGCCGTTCGAACGGAGTTCCGAAAAAAATGCTCTCTTCATTAGCCTGCACCTCCTGCCCAGGTGTAGAAAAGCCTTAGGCAGTGTACTTCGGGTATGTGTGTCGAGATACTACAGGAAGTACACCGCTTTACACATTACTGCTCAGAGGCAGGAGGGGCCGGTAAGTGGAAGGAGCATATTTCCTTACATAGAATTGAAAAAGCAGTTAGGGCGCAGGTGAGCTGGTGTAAGTTTACCATTTTTAGACCACCTGAGACTGGGTAGAAGAAACACGACGACGTCGTCCTGTTTCTTCCACCCAGTCTCAGGTGGTCCAAATATTATAGAATTCCACTTTTCGAAAGCGCGGAGTGTTCTAGGCAAATATTTTCGGCAATTGGGTGTTTATTGAATTAATGTTTCCTACTGGATATTTTAAAATGATAAGAGATGTGGGTTGAAGATGCCAAAAAAAGGATGTCTTATAAATGTTTAAAAAAATAAAAGCGGACTCACAAAGGTGAGGAAACATAATGCGTTCAAACTTTAAACATCGTGCCAAACATTTCTAGACAATTCTTAATGATAAAAACATTGTGCTTTGACGCTACATGATTATTTTACTTTTGTTCCCCGGAAACTTGTCGCTTTTCTCGCTGTGTGTGCGACTGATTTCAGGAACATTTCAATTCAACTGTATATTGCCCCAGACTTAATTGCCAATATGACCTGTGAAAAAACGGTCAAGGATAGATTATTTTCAATAAAATTCGAAATTCCATTACCATCTTTCCAACAATATTATTTCTGCAGCGTTCAAACAATGAAGAGAAAAAAAAAGTCTAAAATATAAACCGATCAATCCTCTTTTTTTTTTTTAATTTCGAGAAAACAAGTGAAATAGAGCAAGCAAAGTTCTTCAACGTTGTTTATATGAAGAAAACTTAATTTCTATTTTTATTTTATTATTTGAAGAACACTGCCGGCCGACCGTTTTCAGTCAAGGCAGGATGTATACAGTAATACAAAGTAGACAAAGCAGATGGTTAGTATTTCAAAAACAATATCTGTTAAAATCATAAATACTAATATGTAATTTTTTTAAAAAATCTAATAGTGCGAGAAAACTATTTCTAAATAGAACATTCTCTAAACAATTCCAATGACAGAAGGAGCTAGGAAAACAATTGTATTTAAAAAAAGTTCCTGCATTGAAACTGGTGATTACGTTTCTCATGCACCTGCCTTAAGCCACAGCAATCATTGTACTTCAAGTAAATGTTGCAAAATATGCACTTCTTCGCAGGGGATCTTGGGTACTATGACAGTAATGGACAGATCTACTTCGTAGATCGGCTCAAGCAGATGATAAAATGTATGGGGAACATTGTAACTCCTGCCGAGTTGGAAGAAATCTTGACCTCGCATGAGGCGGTCCTGGAAGCCGCTGTGGTCGGCATACCCTGTTCGAAGTACGGGGAGGCTCCGGTCGCTTGCGTCGTTGTCAAGGGATCCAAGGAAAAATGCCTGGACAGTCTTGAACAAGAACTGAAGGAACTCGTAGCAGGTAGGCTCTCGATTTTCTTCGTGTAGCTGATCCACCCAATAATTATTTATTTAGAATAATACGCATTTGTATCCGAGAGGAACCGTTAGTTTGAGCTAATTGAACATGGAGGCTCACAAATATGAATCAGATTTTTAGAAAGACGAATTGATTGAAAATGTTATATCTTCGGTAAAAAATTAAAAAAAAAACTCTCAGGCTAGATTTCAAATAAAACGACATAGTTTTATGTTGGACGCTTAAACCACAGCGCTGTTAGAACTATA